TGCATCCAGAACTCTCTGAAAAAGAGAGACTCTGATTGATTCTCAGAGCCACTGCTGGCTGGAGTTCCCAAAGAGTGTACACATTAGAAAGACAGTTCCTTTTGCAGAGGGCCTACTGTCCTTGGGAGGAGCTATGTGTGGAAGGAAATCAGGTTCTCTTTTCTAGGGGGCAAAGCTCTTCTCCGGGGTAAGCAATGTATTTATCAATGAGAAAGTTAGAGCCGGATGTGTGGCGCTTGCCTGTAATCCCAGTACTCGGAAGGCTGAGACAGGAGGATCGTTCTGAGTTCGAGACCAGCCTGGGCTACAAAGTGAGCTCAAGACGAGCCTGAGCTGCATAGTGAGACCCTGTCTCAAAAAGACAAAAAAAAAAAGAAAGTTAGAGCAAGGCATCTGCTGACACATCCGGGGAATCTACTGTCTAATGAATCTGCCTTCCTAATAGTGGAACAATCCAAGATGTATTTTATAAAAGTTGAAAATCCCGATCAGTTCACTGAGTGCTCTTTAGATGCCAAGCAGCAGGTTTGGGGAATGAATGAGATCGCCTCTACCCCTGCCCTTTTGCAGCTCACAGCCTAGTAAATTTTACCTGTGAGAAGTACCTGTAAATTTTACCTGTGAAAAGTATCAAAACGGAAGATACACAGGTGAGAGTATATAGTTGAGGGACCTAAGCTGGCCTAGAGCATCATGGGAGACTTCCTTGAGAGGCCTTAGGGGTGAGGAGCTGGCAGTGGGGAGGAGGGAATGCTGTGTGCATGGCCAGTGACCCTCGGGTGGGAAGGACCTTGGTGAGACTCAGACTGGTGGAGAAAGCAAGGGAGAGAGGACAAGAAGTGAGGCTGGGGGTCAGGCAGGGGCCACGTCACACTGGGCCGCTAGAGCATGGCTCAGCCCCTTTCATGTTGACATGTGTCTGCTTGTGATCCCAGGTCCACAGATCCAATCGTCCCATCATCTGCAAGGGCTGCAGAAGAACCTTCACAAGCCACCTGTCACCGGGGCTGAGGCGCTTTGGGCTGTGTGACAGCTGCACTTGTGTCACAGACACTCACGAGGACGAGGACGATTTGACGCCCATTAACCTCAGCCTGGTGGAGGCTTCCTCCGAAAGCCAGGAGAAGAGTGACACAGACAATGACTGGCCCATCTACGTGGAATCTGGTGAGGAGAACGACCCTGCCGCAGAGGGTTCTGATGACAAGCCTCGAATTCGGCCCAACTTATCAGACCACAGGACGCTCACATAGCAATAAACTGGTGGGGAAGACCTTTCAGACTGTGTTCTTGCTCCTTCTGTGGTGAAATGCACCATCTGTCTGAGTTTGTGGAACCCCCAGGGAACACTTTTTTTCACTGTCACTATAACTGCATTTTTGTTAGGCTACATGGCAGAGGCTAGGTTGTGTGACTGAAAAGACCGACAGCTTCTTAGTGTGTGATACCCTTGGTTTCTGAGGGTTTCGCAGGCCGCTCCTTACTTTTGAGTGAATCAAGGTCCGACTCGAGGCTTCTTGTTGTTCTACTGTGCATCTAACTCTGTGGGAGGAAGAGAGGAGAATCGCCAAGCTTGTTTCCCCGTTGTCTCTGTCCCCTGCATTCCTCTGTCACCGTCCTCTTTCCCTGTGAGGCGGTAAGCGTATGCACAGTTTGGGGATCTGTCTTCGCCTTGCCAACCCTCTCCTAGCGGATTCCACATTCTAATTTTCTGGGGAAGTATTAGAGAGGAGGTTTCGCTGATACAAAGCAGGCAGGCCCCTCTGTCAACATGATCGTAAAAGTCACCCTTGAAAGCTAAGATTGTAATTTCAAAGGCTGGGAGTGCTTCTGTGCAGGTGAGCATGGAAATGAGCCAAAAAGGCTGGTGAAGGTGCCCTGGATTGCCTAGGTGAATTAAATTTTACATTTGCCCCCGACAGAAAGCCTGTGAGCCAGAGTAGGTGGTTGCCCTGTCTGGTTTGGGATCTGTCCATCACACACACACACACACACACACACACACACACACACACGCATGTTCTCATATCATAAACAAGTCATCTTCGCTAAAGTCAAAATGCTCTCCTGGGTTTCCCAGCCGTTTCTCAGAGGCATCACTGTGTCACCTGGAAATGTAGCCACCCTGACATTGTTTTACTCAGTTTATGCCCCTAACTTCAATTGGAGGGACAGTGTAAGTCCATCTAAATCATTTAGCTTTTAAAAGACTTTGAAAGAAAGAAAAGGTTTCTCTTTCCCCACCAATTTATTGCTTTCTCTGCCTGCTCTGCAGCCATACATTTTAACAAAAAAGCCCGAACTTTTTCTCTTTTGAGACAGGGTCTCGCTGTGTAGCCCAGGCTGGCCTTAAACTGATGATGAGCCTCCTGCCTCAGCCTCCCAACTACTGGGACTACAGGTGTGTGCCATCACAGCTGGCAAGGCGAAATGTTTTCAAAGGGCGGGAGATACTAGGGATGAAGGATGTACTTGAAAGTACTTTGAGAATTTTGTCTTATGTTGAAGTACCCAAAATGAGTTCTTAAAAAAACCTCTTGCTTTCCTATAATTTTAGTACAGTGTATCTCAAAAGGTGGTACAATTGCTCTGTGTGTGTGTGTGTGTGTGTGTGTGTGTGCCTCTTGAACAACAAAAAAAAAAGCATTATTTTTTTTCTTTCTTTTTCTTTTTGGTACCGGAAATTGAATTCCTCACCTCACGCTTGCCAGGCAGGCACTATGCCACTGAGTTATATCCCCAGCCCCCCAAAAACATTATAAATTAGCTTATAAGTATTGATCTGGTTGTTGAAAAGTTACAGTAATTGGGGGTGGTTCTTTTGGCAGTGCTAGGGCAAGTGCGCTACCACTGAACTGTACTCCCAGGCCCTAGAATATTGTCTGAATGATACTTCTCCACTGTAGGTATAGTTGTAGGACAGTGCTTGTCAAACTATGGCCACAGGCAGGCACTGCTCTGTAAATTGTGTTCTGAGCATCAGAGAAAAATTTATGATACTTACTTTTGTGTGGTACTGGGGATTGAACCCCGGGAGGGCTGAGATACAGCCCCAGCCCTTTGTATTTTTCCATTTTGAGACAGTCTCACTAAGTTGCCCAGCCTCGAGCTTGTGATCCTCCTGCTTCAGCATTTCCAAGTCACTGGAATTAGAGGTGTGCACCGCTGCACTCAGGTTTTATGAAACTTTGACATTCTGTGACAGGTGGCACCCACCCACACATGCGATCAATGGCCTCATCTGGAACAGGGTATAGGCCAGCTCCGGGTGGCACCTGGTGAGCCCCTCCCACAAAGGCTGGATACCAGACCATACAGAGAGATCACAGATTGTCCCACAGAAGATTAGAAATTTAAAGACTGGTCTTGTCCACAGGTCATATTGAAAAATATTGTTCTAGATCCAGAGTTATACACTGAAAATGATCAGGGACCAGAAAAATTTTCATATCTGAGATGAACATTTTAGCTATCATTTTATTTTATATTGTTTTTTTGTCTTTTTGAGACAAGGTTTCACTATGCAGTTCAGGCTGGCCTTGAACTCACTTTGTAGCTCAGGCTGGCTTCAAACTCACAGTGATCCTCCTGCCTCAGCCTCCCTAGTGCTAAGATTACAGGTGTGCACCACTATACCCAGCCTAGCTATTCTTTTAAACAAGAGAGACCATAGCAAAAAAAGAAACTTAAATGGATGTGTAGATTTATTTGGCAAGGAGTATGTTTGTTAGTTTTGCTTTGTTGTCTATTTCCGATGTGTTAAATGTGACTTTTCTACCTCACAGTTCAGCTTCTCTGCCTACTACCTCTGGTGGTGCCATGATCCTCTTCAGGGATCCTGTGACCTATTCACATCCCTGGGCAAAAAATTTCATGTTAGAGATTTCACTGTGAGACAGCGATTCTCGATGGGGAGGGAGTTTCCCATGAGGAGGTCATTGGCAGTGTCGGGAGCCATCCTAAGTTGTTACGACACAGGACAGGGTGCTGCCAGCATCTAGTGAGTAGAGGCCAGGGCTGCCACTAAACATCCTATAATCCATAGCACAGCCTCATACAACAAAGAGTTATCTTTCTCAAAATGTCAGGAGCCCCGCCGTAAGATAAAGTTGGACTTTCCCCCCTTTGTTTCTTTGATTTGTTTTGAGACAGGGCCTCATTATGTAGCTTAGGCTGGCATCAAACTTACAGTGATCTTCCTGCCTCAGCCTCCCAAGTGCTGGGATTACAACCTCACGCTTGGCTTCTAAAGTTGAATTTTTAAAATTAATGAGTGAATTTAATTTTGTTTTCTGTGTCTGAAACCGGATGGTTCACAGTTTGCCCAAAATCTGATTTTTGGTTTATGATGTAGAAACTTGGAAATTATGACTCTGATTCATATACCCAGAACCAGCCTCTGACCTTTCTGTCAAATTACAAAGTAGCACAATTATTGGGATGAAAACAGAACATGAAACTTACTACTGAAAGGATTTGCTTTCTTTCATGATATCTGATTGTTGCATTTCTCAGTCACTATTTGGAATTTGTGAAATATACAATATGACCAGTCATTGGTAATAACTATGAATTCCATCACTTTTAAAATAGATGCTTCCAGGCTGGATGTGGTTACACACCTGTAACCCCAGCACTGGGGAGGCTGAGGCAGGAGGATCGTTGCAAGAGTTCAAGGCCAGCCTGGGCTACAAAGTGAGCTCAAGGCCAGCCTGAACTGCGTAGCAAGACCCTGTCTCAAAAAGACAAAAAATAAATAAAGTAAAATAAAATAAAATAGATACTTCCTTTTTGGACCATCAGATCATAAACTAGTCCTCTTTTAAATTTATGTTCACATTTGATGGCCAGTATTTATAATCCGTGTCTTTGACATTTAATTTGTGGGGTTTCATTCTGTCCCCCTGGCCCCTTTGTGAGGAATGGTACCCAGGGCTTCACACATGCTGGGCAAGTGCCCCGTCACTGAGCTGTATCCCCAGCCTACTGTGACATTCTCGTAATATATAAATTCACAGCTGGGCCCAACGAAGACCATTAGTAGTTGAGTTTATATTCTGGCATCTTTCTAACACATTCAGTCCAAATCAAGAAGGGATATTTTTGTGGCATAGTAGATGTATTGCATGAATGAGAACAAGATTCCTACTTGTAAAAAAAGAGAAAAGATTCCTACTTGTAATGGAATTAAAAAGTGGCATTCTTAGAATTTTGTTTCTCTTGGGAGGAGATCCCTTCTCAAGAATTGGAAAGGGCTGTAAATAAGCCTTGTAAGTGTTGTCATAAAGAAATGATCCTGGTGCTCCCTTAGGCAGCACATATACTAAAAAAAGAAATAACCCTGAAGTCAGACATGGTGGTGCATGCCTGTAATCCCAGCACTTGGGAGGATGAGGCAGGAGGATTGCTGTGAGTTCAAGGCCAGCCTGAGCTATATATTGAATTCAAGGACAGCCTGAACTACACAGTGAGATCCTGTCTCAGAAAGAAAGAAAGAAAGAAAGAAAGAAAGAAAGAAAGAAAGAAAGAAAGAAAGAAAGAAAGAAAG